GTGTAGGGTTTAGGGTTGAAGGGTTTAGGATTGAAGGGCTTCGGGTTGAAGGGTTGAAGGGCTGAGGGTTTTGGGCATGCTTTGTGGGACTCTATCTTGGACCCCTCAGGGTTTGGGACCCTGCTCAGCATCCCCTTAAGGGAATATGGGGTTTAGGGTTTAGGGTTTAGGGTTAGGGTTTGTGTCTTGTTGAACCCTAAACCCTAAACTGTGAACCCTACAACTTGGGATGTTCCCCCTTGTACTAACAATCCTTCATAGGCAGTTTTGGACCCCCATTCTTCAAAAACCTTTTGAAAAGGACTGCTAGTATAAGGGGAGCATCCAACCCTACAACCCTTAAACCCTACGTTTGCAAAAAACGAAGGGGAAAAAAACAAACAAAAAAACACTAAAAGCAATGCTGCCAGAGCAGAACGTGCGCAGAAACACGCATGCACAATCCCCTAAGCCCTAAACCCTAAACCCCAAACCCTAAACCCTAAATCCTAAACCCTAAACCCTAAACCCTAAACCCCAAACCCTAAACCCTAAACCCAGTCCTCAAGTCAGGAACCTGATGAACCCTCAAAGCCCCTAGCTCTACTTGAAGGTTCATGGTACTTACTAACCACTTATAACCGTACTTAACACCCTACTTATAATTGGGATAACCCCTATAAGGCCCTTTAGGGGTATTATAAGTGGGGTTATAAGTACAGTTATAATTGGTTAGTAAAAACCCTACTTATAATACCCCTAAAGGGCCTTATAGGGGTTATCCCAATTATAAGTAGGGTTATAAGTACAGTTATAATTGGTCAGGTAGGTACCATGAACCTCCAAGTAGGGGTTCCACCTTGGACCCCTCAGGTTGGGCCCTTGGGTTTTGGGGGACCCTTGTCTTCAGTAACGTAGCATAATTGGGGTTTAGGGTTTAGGGTTTGGGGTTTAGGGTTTAGGGTTTGTTTAGGGTTTGTTTAAGGTTTAGGGGTTACATATTAAGGGGAACCTTTAGGGGTACAACCTTAGGGGTACGTGTCTTAATCCCTTGACTAGCCCTAAACCCTAAACACTAAACCCGAAACCCTCAAAAGCCCTGAAGCCCAAGAACGCTAAAACCTCTAAAACCTCGAAAGCCCTGAAACCCCAAACCATGATTCATAAAGCCCAAGGCCCCTAAACCTAAAAGCTCTGGTTTAGGGTTTAGGGGTGTGGGGTAGTGATCCATACAACCTAAGGCCCCTGAAAACCTCAAATTGAAACCCAAAAACCGTAAAGCCGTAAAACCCCACTTCCTAACCAAGGGGTCGGGGTTTAGGGTTGGGCTTCACGGCTTAGGGCCCCCTAAAGGCTAACCTAAACCCCTTGATAAGGGATTTAGATTGGGATGTTCCCCCCTTATAGTACCAGTCCTTACTGGAGATTATACTACCCTTAAAACCTAAACCCTAAACCCTAAACCCTAAACCCTGAACCCTGAACCCTGAACCCTAAACCCTAAACCCTAAACCCTAAACTTCAGGGTTTAGGGTCAGAGCCGCGCCTCCCGATCCGGCGCAAAGCGCCGCCAAACCCGCAAAGCCTTTCAAGCTTTGGTCTAGGCTCGCATGGGCCCTTACTTGGGTTCAGGGTTTAGGGTTTAGGGTTTATTTAGGGTTTAGGGTTTAGGGTTTCGGGTTTCGGGTTTAGGGTTTAGGGTTAAGGGTTCAGGGTCTAGGGTTGAAGGTTCAAGGGGGTCCGAAGTATGTGCCCTTGAATTTGGGGACTCTATTATATAACCCGTATGTACACTTTATGTATTATGTACGAAGCACCCGTACTTCGGATCCCTATGAACAATTGTATACGGGGCCATACTAAGAGCCCATGGTTCAAACTCAAACCTTAGATGTGGGCTGGGTTTAAGGGCTTTAGGCTGTAGGGTTTAGGGCTTTGGGGTTGCAGGGCTTTAGGGCTTCGGGCTTTTTTTAGGAGCTTTGTGGGTCTTACGGGGGTTTATGGGGCTCCAGGGCCTATGATTTTCCAATAAGATCTCGAGCTCCAACACTGCAAGCCCTTAAACCACGAAGCCGGATCATGCCCTGGGCCCTAAACCCTAAACCCTAAACCCTAAACCCTAAACCCTAAACCCGAAACCACCCTAAACCCTAAGCCCTCAGCCCTAAAACCCCTTGGGCCCCTAAACCGGGTTGGGGGGGGGGGGGGGGGGGAGGCATCGTGGTCCCGCCTGGAGGGAGTCACTCCAGGTTGAAGGTGCTATCAGTCGGCTTTAATGATCTTTTGGGGGGTTTAGGGTTTAGGGTTTAGGGTTTAGGGTTTAGGGTTTAGGGTTTAGGGTTTAGGGTTTAGGGTCCGCCGACCCTGGCGGCGTGTTGGATGGGAAAAGGAGCCTCTTTCCCTCCTTACCCCCCCAAAACGCGGGGGGGGGGTAGGGGGGGGTACCCGGGCAGCTTTTCCATGGAGGGCCAGGCCACCCACACCGCATAAACTCACGGACCATAGGCGGTTTCGCACAGGACCTTTGGGCAAAAACCCGCCCACACCCTCCCCCCCCCCCCCCACCCCACCCCCCCCCCCACCCTACCCCCTACCGCCCCCCCCCCCATACCCCCTCCCCCCCCCCCTCCCCCCCCGCCTCCCCCTACCCCCGCCCCCCCCTACCCGCCCCCTACCAATTGATGGGGCTGCCCTGGCAACGTTTCACAGAGGCTCAAGCACATCAACTTTTTTGGCATCCTTTGACCTGACGAGCGCGTTTAAACCTTTCAACTATGCTCCAGCGGGGTCGGCGGCTTGAGCCGGAGGCTCTTAATTTAGGGTTTGAGGGCCGGGTCTCTGAACCAACCACCCTAGCACCCCGAAACCTTGAACCCGAACACCCCAAAACCCCTAAGACCCTAAGCCCTAAACCCCGAAACCGCTTAAAACCCCTCAGCCCTAAGGCCCCAAAGACCGTAAAACCCCTGAAGCCCCTAAACCCTAAAACCTAAAGCCCTAAACTCTGCATAAACCCTGCCCCTAAACCCCTAACCCCAGCACCTAAACCCTAGAATCCCGAAACCCTAAACCCTAAGCCCTAAACCTTGGAGTCTCTAAACCCTAAACCCGGACCTTAAAACCTTGGACTCCCTAAACCCCAAACCCCAAACCCTAAACCCCAGAATCCCTAAACCCTAAACCCTAAACCCTAAACCCTAAACCCTAAACCCTAAATTTAAACCCTAAACCCTAAAACTAAACCCTAAACCCTAAACCCCGAAGCCCTAAGCCCAGCCTTGGCCCAGTCGGCGGCCGCCACGAGCTTTGCCAGGGCCGCCTCTGCAGCCTCCTTCTCTGGGGGCCACCTGGGCTACGGTTTAGGGTTTAGGGTTTAGGGTTTAGGGTTTAGGGTTTAGGGTTTAGGGTTTAGGGTTTAGGGTTTAGGGTTTAGGGTTTAGGGTTTAGGGTTTAGGGTTTAGGGTTTAGGGTTTAGGGTTTAGGGTTTTCGCTGCGAGTGCGCTTCGACCCCCTCCATGAAGTGGTTGGGGGTCGGCGCATGAGCTGCAATGCCCGCCCGCCCACCCAAAATACAAACCTTGTACGGGTTTAGGGTTGTCTACCCCCCTACCCCCCTATCAAGGGGGGATAAGATACTTTGTGGATTTGCATTTGCAGGTGATGATCAAGTGTCATACATGTGTTCGCCCGGGTTGCTTCTGTGAGAGTCAAGATTGCTTTGGGCAATGACAACTGACAGGCTTGGAAACTGAATTGCAATTCTCGCACATTTTGCTGCTCGCGAGGCTTCATCCTCAGAGTTTCTGACCGAAATGGTCTGTGCAGCGTGCGTCTGTACCTTCTGCCAGCGTCTCTGCACTATGCGTGCAGGATGGCGCTTCAAAGAAAGGTTTGGATGTCTGGCCAGGTGCACAGCGCAAAATAGAAGTTGTGATATTGAAAGACCAAATAAATGCATTCGCAACTGTCTGTGTACTCAGGCCCATGTAGTAGTGAATCCCAGAACTCAATACTCACGAAGAAGCGCGCGTTGCCTTCGACAAGCTTGTCGCGTACAGTTTGGAACGCTGGATCTTTGCACCAAGCTTCGTCGTGCTTGCGGTCGAGCTTCTCGAGCACCTCCAGAAATTCTTTGAAGCTGTTGCCTTCAATGATCCCGACTCCGAAGTTCAGGCACATTGCAACGTGTTCGCGGTATTCCCCTGCATGGGTGTTGTCAATGACAAGCTGGCCGACTGGGGAAGGCAGCGTGATGGGCAGCTTGTCGTCACGCAGAAGCTGCAGCGCATAGTCCATATAGTCCTCGTTGGCGGGCATGATATGGTGCTTCCGCATATACGCCATCATCTTCGTGGTGAAGTCGACAGTTTCCAGAAACTTAGCCGGCCAAGAGGTCCCGCGCTGGCACACGCGCGCTTGTCTGCAGGTGCCTAGCCAGTTCAGGATAGACAAGCCATCAATCCAGTCGGGCAGGTACCAGCACAGCAGCCGCCCAGTCTCTTCTGCCAGCTCCATGGCATTTTCTTGCGCTTGCGGCGTTTTGTCAAGAACTGCAACACCCCGAGTCATTGATGGTTGTGTTTCTGGCTCCCTCACCTCGGAGCAGAGTCAAGATTGAACAGCCACAACTTGCTTGAACACTTGTGAAGGACCACTAGTGCTTGCAAGAGGTGCTGCTGATGCGGGAGGCGAGCTACTTATCCAAGATTTGAGCCAACGTGCAGCAGCGATTGCAGCCTGGAATATACAGGAAAAAGCAGCAAGCCAACCTACCAAGGTGCTATCGTCTCGTGGTGGCATAGGAACATTGCATGTCAGTGCGCAAGAAGCTGACGACTTTGTGTTTGCCACGTCCGACTCTGTGCTGTGGCAAGGTGAAACCCAGCTGCTGTGAGCTGTAGACGAAGACCTGTCTAGAACTTCTGTCGCGCCGAACAAACGCCTGTACGCGCGTGGCGCCGACATCTTGCCGCATAGATTCTGCACGTGCGATGCCCTAAGCAAAAGTAGAACTGCGGGCCTCACTTCGCTGGAGTGAAATGATCCTCCGTCAAGATGCCCGCCAACAGGAAGTCCTTGTAGTAGCCGACCCTACTGATGGCAGTGTAGGCCGCGGCAGGCACCTTCGGGGCATCCAGGTAGACGACGACGTGAGGCAGCTCGGCGCCCTGGAACTTCAGGATGGTGGACGCATAGCCCGGCCGGACCGGGTAGTAGACCAAGCCGCCCCTCTCCGGGTCGGTCCACGGCCAGACGCTGACCACGAACCCGGTGGCAGTGCGCACCAAGAGGCCGCCCGTGCCTTCGTCGTACTTCAGCACCGTGGCCTCCATGCCGTTGACGAAGTCGACGTCCTTCCGCACATTGCGGGTCAAGTACACCCGCATGCCCTTGTAGACAGGCATGGCGGAGGGCTCCAGCTCTGCGGGTGGCTTCAGCTTGCCTTGTACATAGTTCTCCGGATTGGAGTCCACGTCAGCTGGCAAAGTCGCAAGCGGAGGGTACTTCGGGAAAAGGGCCTTCAAAGCAGTTGCATTGACCACAGCAGCGCCCCGCCTGGTGCACGTCAGGATGGTCGTGTTGGGCTTGGATTTGAGGAGCTTCTGGAGTCCCTTCACCGTCGGCCGGCCCGGCGGCCGCCACGCCATCTTCTTGCGGAGCTGCCGGAGCAGCTTGGCATTTGGTTTGCCGGTCCTGAGTGTTGCCAGGAGCTTGGCGTGCACTTTGTCCTTGCAGCGGTACATCTTGTGGAGGGCCACCCGGTAGCAGAGCGTGTTCCAGAGGCGCCCGTGCCAAGGCCGCTTCTCGCCCACGCCGGCCATCTGGTACCGGTCGCCCAGTAACACCAGCGCTGGCACACGCTCCGCAGCTGCCCAGAGCTTCAAGATCTTCTCAAAGTTGACCATGTCCAGCTGCGAGAGCTCGTCCACGACGATGAGGGAGTACATGCTCAGCAAGGATGCTTCGCCGTGCTCTGCAGACTCGTGCAGGCCGAACGCAGCATGGCAAGTGTCGATGTCAATCTTGTGGCCGTAGCGTGCCTTCATGCGGCTGGCCAACTGGGCGGTCGGCAAAGCCATCAAGACCTTGCCACCCTTGGTCAAGGCACGGTCGATGCAAGAGAAAACCACTGTGGTCTTGCCGGTCCCGGGCGGCCCCAGGCACACGTTGGCCTTGCTGCCCCGCGCCTCTTGTCGCAGACGGTCCGCCTCGCCCTCGTCCTCGGCATCCTCGATGGCCAGCGCTCTGTCCACTGCGGTGTCGACGAGCTCCTTGAAGCCTCGGAAAGCCAGCGAAGACTTCTATAAGTGCACGTGTGCGCGAACGTTAAATTCCTAAACTACACAAGACATCTCCGCCAGATGGTTGATGTAGACGAGGCACGGAGTTGCTGTCTGTTGAACTTGCTGGCATCCACGGGGCCTGCTTTCTTCTTGGGGGCCTTTGTCTTGCCGCGGCACTGCTCCTGGGTTTGCCGGTCCTTTCGGGCATCCAGGGAGCCATCGAGGTATTCCTGAAGCAAGCCGCGGTGCGCACGGATCATGGCCAGGATGGTGTCCACGTGGTCCTTGGTGCGCGCTTCCATCTTGAGCTCCGCACGGATCTTCTCGTCGTCCTGCCACATGGCCTGCGCCACCGGGTGCTCGCAGAGGATTGCCATGGCGAAGTACTTGTGTGCCTCCGGAAGCCGTTGGGCGACGTGCTCCGGCAGGCAGAAGTCCGTGGCTTCCTCGAAGGGAACATGCAGCATGAGCCACTGGCCAAAGTAGCGGTCGTTGAACTTGGAAACCGTTACGGCGGCCACGACTTTCTCGCCTTGCATCACGTAGTTCGCAGCAAAGTCCTCCAGGGTGGCCTCGCTGCCAGATTGCGCGTGCTTCTTCTTGAGCCAGTGGCAGATCTTCCCCTCGGCCGTGGTTTTGCGCAAGTAGTCGAGGAGGCTGATGCGGCCACGAGCCCAGTCTGCCTGCTCGTACAGCTCCACCTCGCGCAACTTGGACTCCTGGTCAGGGTAGGGCGCCACCAAGTCGCGCTTGCCGCCGCTCTGGGTGGAGAGGTGCCACTGGCGGAACTTGGCACCGAAGAGCTGCAGCACCATCTCGGGCTCCAGTGGCCGGTAGCGCATGAGGACGGTGGCGGCGATGCTCATGGCTTCGGCGTCATCGTTGAGCCACTCCTCGCTGGCCGCGTCCGAGAACTTGCTGACGTAGGCGCGGAGCAGGCCGTCGTCGTCGCACATTTGGAAGTCTTGGTGGCAGCGGAGCACCTCCATGAGATCAACGAGGTAGGGGCGCAGGCCTTCGGCATGGTCCTCCGTGTGCTGCAAGCGCCAGGCCCCTGTCTCACTGTCAAAGCAGGTTGGTGCCTCGTGGATTGGCCAGCCACTCTTCTTGTCCTGGTCGTACTGGCTGCCTTCGACGTAGCCACGGAGGTCCGAGTCTTCGGGCAGAGTGGCGGACACAGTCTCGGCCAAATCCAGCTGCTCGACGTCTTCAGGCTTCACAAAGATGACGACGTGCACGTGGACACGGCCCGAGCCGTGGTAGTCCTGCGTGGCTGCCTTGCGGGTCCCATCTTGATATTCCAAGCGCAGGAAGAAGTGCAGGCGGCGAGCCTGGCCCTGCTCGTCAAGACAATGGAAGATGTTGCTCTTCCAAGCCTTCTGCCGCCCCCGTCCCCCGGTGCGCCCCAACAGCAAGCCTTTCACGGTTTGGACCATGACGTGCACTATGTGCAGCGTCTCCGCCACCGGCAGGAAGAGGCGCTCCTTGAGCAGCTTCTGCATCTCGTCGCGGACCCACTCGTGGTAGGGGAAGCTCCACTCGTAGGGGGCTATGGTGAAGAAGATGCGAGGGTAGCCCACCTGCCGCACCATGTCCAGCAAGGCATAGTGCACTCCACGCCAATAGTGGGGGCTGAAGGCCTCGCCTTTGAGCATGAGACGCATGGGCGTCGGCAGCTGCAGGTTCTTCTTGGAACCGATGCTGCTCCAGAGGTTGAGGTCATAAACGAACTGGAGAAGCTCGAAATCCCCCGCATAGCCCAGGAGACGACCCAGCGCCAAAGCAGCAAAGAGACGTTTCATGCTGTGGCGTGTGGCGTCATTTGCTTCTGCGTCCTCCTCATCTGCCACCTGGCTCTCCTCTTCGCTGTCGTCGTTGCCCTCAACCTCCTCATCGCTTTCTGCAGCAGGAAAGGCTGCACGCCCAGCGGCCCGACCGGCATTCAGCACGTCCTCCAAGGTGGCTACCCGCTCCTGCCGAATCACCCGCCTGGGATCCGTGGCACGCTCGTGAGTGAAGGTGCGCTTCACATCCCAGAACAAACCAGGCCAGAGGGCGCACTCCACGCCGACACGTTCAATGAATTGCAGCCGGCGACGGCGAGTGAGCTCGTCGGCGCCGGGGTGTTCTTCCAGAAACTCCGCATGCTCGGCCACAAAGGTCGCATAGGGTGTGTCGTCCGAGGCCATCAAGAAGTCGTAGGCTGCGCGGGCTTTCGTCCGCGTGTTCACGTCCTGGCCATGTCAGGGAGCAAATGCGTTGCTGAAAACATCGAATTAATTGTAAGTAGTACTTTAGGAAACCTGTGTACTCTACGCCTGGCCTGCAAGTGCTTGATGCGCTTCTTCACTGTAGTCGTTTGCCAGCGGAAGCGGATCATGGTCGTCTTCTGGCGGTAGCCGGATTTGTGCTCTGCACGCACGACCGGGCCCACGTCGATCTCCAAAGGCGACAATGCTTGCGCAGCCTCTGCAGACAGCTCCCGCAGAACCTCTGGCACATCAGCCAGCGTCACCACCGGAGCACTTGCCTGAAGGATTGGTGGGTGGCTGGGGCTTGTTGAGCGTGCTCTCTGTGAGGTCGCGAGGCGCGAGGAGGCCGCAATTCTCGCACATGCTCCAGGAGTCGAAAAGGCACCAACGCTCGAAGTCCTCGACCAGCCGGCGGCGCTTCGCCGGGGGCAACCCAGTGGTATTCTCGACGGCCTCGCCAGCTGGCGTTCGCTTTGAAGGCTGGCCCATACGGCGCCGTGCCCGAGCCCTGTCTGCCAGAACCTGCTCTCGATATTTCTTTTTCGTCGCAGCCGACGCCGGGGCTGCAGCTGTCTGCCGCGAGGTCAGGGCACCTCTCCACAAGATGGGGAGCTCCTGCCTGTCCAGCAGGCGCCGCCTTCCCCGCCCAGCCGCGCGCTTGGGCGCCGGGCCCTGCAGCTGCGCTTCAAAATATTCTACCGCGTCGGGCGGCAGGCGTTCTTCCAAAGCACGGGCACGGGCAGCCACTGATAAGCGCCGGAGCTTGCCCAGAACCTGCAAGAGTATGTTTCTGCGTTCATGTTCTGCGCACTTCTGTACGTCACGCAGCAAAACAGCACGAAGACTTGGCTGAGTGGCTTCTCGCTTGCCAGCTTCCTCCGCGCACAGTGGCCATAGATCTTCAGGTCGACAGAACAGACACCGTGCGCTTCGGCCCATCACCTGAGCTGGGCCTCCACGTGCTGCAAGAGCAAAGGCGCAGCGCTCGCCGTTCATGCCCACGCACACCCGTGGCTTGGTCAGCTCTGCCTGGAAGTAGCCACGGAAGTCCTCCGGCACCCGCTCCAAGGCAAGGCGCTGGTACTCGGGCGTCAAAGCCAACAGCAAGCGCTTGACGTGTCCACGCGACCGTGGCTGGACACAGGCAGTGGCCAAACGATCTGGATCACAGAAGACCTCAGGCAGCAACGCAGCTGGTCAAAATGTGGCTCTTGCGCAACTTCTGGCGTGCTACAGACAGTTAGACAGCAGTTCATCTGCCACCAAGGGGCACATGCAAGAAATGCACCTCGCTGCGCTGCACGGCCCGGGCTCTGCGCCGAGAAGCAACAAGAAGAAGCCGCTGTGCCAGGACACACGGAGGGCATGGCTCTGACAAGTGGAAAACTCCTGAAATCGACGAAGTATTCCTCTGAAAAACTCACAAGAACTCGAGCCAGGGCAGAGCGAGAACACAAATCAAACCTGTTCCTCCAATCAGCAGGCTAGACTGGCTAGATTGAAGAAGTATAAGGCTCCGAAAGCAGCGCAGGGCGTGACAAGGCACGGGCATGCAGTCGCGTTTTTGCGTCTGATCGGGAGCACGTTGAGGTGTGTGGTGCTGTACAGTGGGCTGCGCCTGTGCTGGTCTTGTGCTGCCACGACTTTGAAACACGATGGTCTTCGGCTACTCACTCCTCTCCTGGCTCATTCTCCAGAGCCTCGATGACCGCAGCAGGCGCCTCGGGCGGTCCTCCCTCCTCGGGCAAGCCGGCGTCCGCCGCCAGCCGGGCCTGCTCATGAATGCTCTTCGCCTTGGCCGCCATGTCCTGCATGGTCTCGAAGATATTGATCAGCTTGTCCTTCTTCGGCAGGCGTGTCATCTGCTTCAACGTCTGCAGAACCTTGGCCAGCCCATGCTCCGTCAGCACGGCCTCGGGCACGTTATCCCGGAGAGCGACCAGCACGTACAATGACAGCCTAGTCTTTTTGTTGTCCTGGTTTGCAACCATGGTCTGCAACTCATCCGCAAACTTGGCCACCTCGGACTCTGCCCAGGACAGATGCGGGTCGAGCCCCGGAGTTTCTGCCTCCTCCTCCTCCTCTTCCTGATCCTCCAAGGAAAGCTCAACGGCCGCCGGCCTTGCCGATGTCGCCCGCTTCTTCGGAGCTTCGGCTTTCTTCAGTTTCTTCTTCTTCTCCTTCTTCTTCTTCTCATCACTTCCATGGGAGTGGGAAGACGAGGAGGAGCCGGACTTGTGGTCGCTTTCGCTTCCAGATTCCTTGGCTTCGGAGTTGTTCTCCGACTCAGACCCGGACTCCTCCTTGCCAGCTGCTTCCTCGCTGCTGTCTCCGAAGGCCCGTTTCTTGCGGGGAGCTTTCGCTTCCAGGCGAGCCGCGTTCGTCGCCGCGACGGCTTCCACGCAACTGTCCAGAGTCTTCTTCTGGATGAACTTCCGGATGGGTTTGTCCTGCTTGGACTCGTCCGGGATCTTCTTTGCCCACGCCTTCGGATTGGACGCGAGAGTGCAAAGCTCCAAGCCAGCCATAGCGCCAGCGTACATGCGTGAGGCTGTGTCTGCCAGTCGAGCGAAGTCCTTCACCCGTTGCTGCAAAGCCTCCTTCTTCCCAAGCTTCTTGAGCACCTTCTCGGCGTGCGGCTTCAAAGAAGATGCAGATGAGCACGCCTTGTTTGACAGGTTGACGGCCGCCAAAGCACTGCCCAAGGGCTCCAAGAGCTTCTTGACAGCTGGAATTCCAGTTTGGCCAAACTTCTTCTCAGAAGATGAAGGAAGCACCGCCAAGGCAGCTGCGCAGGATTCCAACGAGGCAGAGGCCATGCTGACGCCCAGGCCTGGCCGAGCGATGCACTCCGAGGTCTCTGCTGTAAGCTGCTCGGTCAGCGTGGAGGTGGTGAAGTATTCCGTCGGCGCTTGCTTGTCCGTCAGGAGCACGCAGCCATCCTCATCGGGCCAGCTGCGGAGAAACGCTTTCAGGGGCAGCTTGTAAAACGGTACACCTGGAGGGTATTTGCCCTTCGCCTTGCCATCCTTGGCGATGTGCTTGCCTGTCGATTTCCGGGGGACCCACTTGCCCATGGCTGCTGCAAGTCAATGACCTAAAATTGGACTACTAAAGCTGGAACTCTCACTTTTGCGCAGCACAGCTATCGGAACGGCCCCACGCTGCTGCTGAACTCAGTAAAGTCACAAAGCGTGGCAGAGGATTTTTCTCAGTTGCGCACGACCACAGTCATGTGGCAGCAGACCACAGTCATGTGGCAGCAGTGGGGATCGTATTCTGCTGCGCTTGAAATTCTGGGTCACGTATGGACTAGCAGTCTCGAACGAGCCCTCCAAGGATTCAATGCAATGTTGTTATTTCGAAGAAAAAGCAAAGCTTGCAGACCGGCAGCCCAAGTTGCACCCATCAATCTATTTGTCTTCATTGTCCTCGACTCGAAGCAGCCCTTCCCAAAGTCCAAGTCTTGAACAAGCCCTCCAGGTAGTCCTCCTTCTTCGTCCCGTGATAGACTGCTGCCCCAAGCATCTCCAGGCCATCGTCCGCGCACAGACAAAGGATGCAATGCAACGCTGTTATTTACAAGAAAGAGCAAAGCCTTGCTGAGACCAGGTCACCCTGCGCCCGAGTCACCTCAAGAATGGATCACCCCAACGACTGGGTCACCTCAGAGCTGGGTGTGCGCCAGAACTGAGTCACCCCAGCGTTGGGTCACTCCGAAAGCTTGAGTCACTTCAGGATTGGGTCACCCAGCCTCGTCTGCAGCCGAAGGTGCTTTGCCCAAGCGTTCTATTTGTCTTCAACGTCCTCGATTCGAACGAGCCCTTCACAAAGTCCAGGATTTGAACGAGCCCTCCAGCAGGAAGTCCTCCTTCTTCGCCCCGTGATAGACTGGCCTGGCAGACAAGGGGTTCAATGCTGTTCTGCTTTAAAACGAAAACACAATGTCTTGCTAAGATCAGCAGCCGAAGTTGCACACATCAATCTATTTGTCTTCAATGTCCTCGACTCGAACCAGCTCTTCACAAAGTCCAGGTCTTGAACGAGCCAGTCCTCCTTCTTTGTCCCCGGGATAAGCAAACTGGCCCTCCAGGAAGTCCTCCTTCTTTGTCCCCGGGAGAAGCAAACTGGCCCTTCAGGAAGTCCTCCTTCTTTGTCCCCGGGATAAGCAAATTGGCCCTCCAGGAAGTCCTCCTTCTTTGTCCGGCCCTCCAGGAAGTCCTCCTTCTTTGTCCCCGGGAGAAACAAACTGGCCCTCCAGGAAGTCCTCCTGCTTTGTCCCCGGGATAAGCAAATTGGCCCTCCAGGAAGTCCTCCTTCTTTGTCTCCGGGATAAGCAAACTGGCCCTCCAGGAAGTCCTCCTTCTTTGTCCCCGGGATAAGCAAACTGGCCCTCCAGGAAGTCCAAGAAGTCTTCCTTCTTTGCCGGGATAAGCAAACTTGCTCTCCAGGAAGTCCTCCTTCTTTGTCCCGGGATAAGCAAACTGGCCCTCCAGGAAGTCCCCTGGACTACTAAAGCTGGAAGCTCTCACTTTTGCGCAGCACAGCTATCGGAACGGCCCCACGCTGCTGCTGAACTCAGTAAAGTCACTGGCCCTCCAGGAAGTCCAAGAAGTCTTCCTTCTTTATTGCCGGGATAAGCAAACTTGCTCTCCAGGAAGTCCTCCTTCTTTGTCCCGGGAACTGGCCCTCCAGGAAGTCCTCCTTGTTTGTCCCCGGAAACAAACTGGCCCTCCAGGAAGTCCTCCTTCTTTGTCCCCGGGATAAGCAAACTGGCCTTCCAGGAAGTCCTCCTTCTTCGTCCCCGGGAAAAGCAAACTGGCGCTCCAAGAAATCTTCCTTCTTTGTCCCCAAGAAGCAAACTGGCCCTCCAGGAAGTCCTCCTTGTTTGTCCCCGGAAACAAACTGGCCCTCCAGGAAGTCCTCCTTCTTCGTCCCCGGGAAAAGCAAACTGGCCCTCCAAGAAATCTTCCTTCTTTGTCCCCAAGAAGCAAACTGGCCAGGAAGTCCTCCTTCTTTGTCCCCGGGATAAGCAAATTGGCCCTCCAGGAAGTCCTCCTTCTTTGTCCCCGGGATAAGCAAACTGGCCCTCCAGGAAGTCCTCCTTCTTTGTCCCCGGGATAAGCAAACTGGCCCTCCAGGAAGTCCTTCTTCTTTGTCGCCGGGATAAGCAAACTGGCCAGGAAGTCCTCCTTCTTTGTCCCCAGGATAAGCAAACTGGCCCTCCAGGAAGTCCTCCTTCTTTGTCCCCGGGATAAGCAAACTGACCCTCCAGGAAGTCCTCCTTCTTTGTCCCCGGGATAAGCAAACTGGCCCTCCAGGAAGTCCTCCTTCTTTGTCCCCGGGAGAAGCAAATTGGCCCTTCAGGAAGTCCTCCTTCTTTGTCCCCGGGATAAGCAAAATGGCCCTCCAGGAAGTCCTCCTTCTTTGTCCCCGGGATAAGCAAACTGGTCCAGGAAGTCCTCCTTCTTTGTCTCCGGAGAAGCAAATTGGCCCTCCAGGAAGTCCTCCTTCTTTGTTCCCAGGATAAGCAAATTGGCCCTCCAGGAAGTCCTCCTTCTTTGTCCCCGGGATAAGCAAACTGGCCCTCCAGCAAGTCCTCCTTCTTTGTCCCCGGAGTAAGCCTCCAGCAAGTCCTCCTTCTTTGTCCCTGGGATAGCGCAGGAAGTCCTCCTTCTTTGTCCCAGGAAGTCCTCCTTCTTTGTCCCTGGGATAAGCAAATTGGCCCTCGGGCCAGCCCAGCCCCGGTCGTTAGCATTGAAGTTTAGGGTTATTATTATATAGGCTGACAAAGCCATTCCTCCTTCTTTGTCCCCGGGTAAGCAAATGGGCCCTCCAGGAAGTCCTCCTTCCTTGTCCTCGGGAGAAGCAAACCTCTCATTCCGGGCCTTAATTTCAAGTCCTCGCCTAGGGGGAGGTTTTCAAGCGTGCCCGGTCGTTTGCACCAAGGTTTAAGGCTATCTTTATATAGGCTGACAGAAGCGGCCTATTCGAGCGCCGCGTGGACCTGAGGTCCAGGACCCTACGGCTCGCCTTTCGGCCTTCGCCTACGGGTCCGCAGGCCCCTGCCGGTGGCCTGCTAACGACCGGCCCCTATCGCTGGAAAGGGGGCCGGTCTTCAGTTTAGGGTCTAGGGTCTAGGGTTTAGGGTTTAGGGTTAAGGGTTTTGGGGTTTTGGGTTTAGGGGTTTAGGGTATAGAGTTTAGGGTTTAGGGCTCTGCATTCAGTGTCTTACCAGGTACCTTTTTCCCTTAGTAGCCGTTCGGGACGTGACGCGGGACGCGCGTCTGTGGACGCGGTCCGGGACGTGGCCGCTGACCCTCCTCAGGACGCAGCCTGCTCCAGGTCTATAGAAAGCGATGCGGCG